CTTAATAAATGATGATAATCGAAATAGAGTAATAAAAGAAAAGCATCATAAATCGTAATCGAGAATGCTTTTTATGTTTTACATAAGATGAAGATATTTTGGTCCCTTTGGAACAGCAGACATAGGGATGGGTCTATCGAAATGGAATTCCAGGAACGATAGTGAGAGTAGTTGCTCGGAGTGCTTTCTTCTGTTGGTTGGGCTGGCATTCCCGAGATAGCGACGATAGTCGAAGAGGATTATGGCTTATTGGGTAGGCCAGGTAGAAAGTGAAGTAGCAAATACTACTTTTGGATTTATTTATTTTATTTATACATGTTTTGGGCTCTTCAACCACTTGGGCCATTTTCGCCCTATATTACAATTTGATGAATTACTACACACATAACTCAGCTCTAGCTAAGAAATACAATTTAAAGTTTGAAAAGTTAAGAATAATTATAGATGATTATGATAGTACAATTGAACTAAAATTATAAAAATTGAAACTTAAGGATTTAAAAGGTTAGACTTAAAGATTTTGGATTTATAAACAAGAATTATGATACACAAATTTTTTGTTATTAATATATTTGTTTTATTTAATGAAAAAAAATATATTGATTAATTGATATAAATTAGGATAAAATATTATATTGCAAACGTTGTACTAAGGTATTGTTCTTATTGTATATATTAGGTGTAATATAGAATATAATATTATAATATTATAATTTTAACTGATTTTCTCTGTTGTCTCTTAATTCGAATCATTTTTTCATCTAAATTTTTTATTAAAATAATTATTGTTCAATAAGTAATTAATTACTTACACTACATAAACAATATGGTGGTATAGATCTCTTTTCCAGCTCTCAGGAGCGATGGGTTTTGATTAATGAACTATCACACGATAGGGAATTTTTTGGAGATGTAAAGATTGTCAGTTTCAAAACTTGAAACCTTACACTAATTCAAAAGTCATTGATAAAATTGAGATGTTTCAAAAGTCGAGACGGGATAAATCGTGTTTTAAAGCCATAGATGAGAACCTATAGTTACTTTGGAACTATATTCGGAACTGCAAAATAAATCATTTTCAAGATAAATGGCAGTTCTTGCCAACAGGTTCTTAAGTGACAAAGTTATAACGTGTTTAGGTTTTAAAAATTAAAATATTGCTATTTAGTCTCCAACGAGCTACAAATCTATTGATAATGCAAATAGAAGAGAACATTGATCTTTTTGAAAACTAAGGAAAAATTTTTTAATATTTTTAAGAATTCTCTATACTATCAGTAAAAGACTTTGAAACAAATAAGTCTTGAGTGGGTATAATTATGGATTAGTATAAGTTCAGAAACCTTACACTGCATAAGCTGTAAAGAGGATTTGATTATAATGTGGTGATGATGAAATTCAACAATTACTGTGTTTCATTGATCAACTATTAAACTGGAGGAATATTTTCTAGTGGACAAGCTTATCATTTATTAATTAATTTTCTAGTCATATCATTTAGGTTCGGTGCCATTTTTAAAGTTATTTTAAAAACATTAGGCCAAAGGTCACTAAATATACACGTTATCACATCATGTATTTATTATGCTACGTTTCGGGTTCAGGAGCCATTTTCAAGATCCTGCAAACTAATTTTAATTTATTTGTTATACTTTAAACTATAAAACACATATTAATTTATAAACAATAAATACATAATGTGATAACGTGTATATTTGGTGACATTTGGCGTTGTTTTTAAAAAAACTTTATTAATTAAATTTTTATCCTAATGATCGTGGTAAAATATGAAGCTTCACTATTTGTGCTGGATAAATTATTTGAAAATATTTGATGTTGCATCTTGTGCTGTGAGTCCCCTTCTGGGCACCTCTGATCGTCAATTCTCTTCTCCTTGAAAATTAAAAGCATCAAATCTTCAGTTTGCGTTAAGCTAAGGCTAGGGTCCAAAAATGTCCTTTAGTATTGAACGATTATTGAGTGGTAAGTGTTTATTTTGTTGAAGATTGTGGGTTTTAGATGATTAAATTCAACTAATTAAAGTACACAACATAGTAACTGACAATATAGTTATGTATTATTGGGGCGGTCTCCCATCCAAGTACCTACTGTGACGTTGTTTAGTTTTCATAACCTTTTGCAAACGTCTTAGCCAGTTCGGCTTATAATATGAATAAAAAGTATAAATTAAAATTGATTGTTTAATACAATTTCAATTTAATTTTTATTTCCTCTTTGTTCGAAAATCAAATGGATTAGATTTTTTATGGATTATCGGAAAGCAGTGATATCTCTAAAGTGATGTGCATTGTAATTGAATAGGTACTTGCTAAAACTGGGAACAGTTAGCGAGTAGAGTAGGGTTAATAGAAGATAGTTGTGAAGAAGTAGGCGTCGAAACGAGGACGGAGAAAGGCCCTCGGTACAAAGGAACTGAGCAGGAGAAATCCCACCGTTTTCTGCTTTCTTTCTTATCCAGTTGGAATGAAAAAAAAGTAATATCAATTTCTCGCAAATAGCTGATAATATGCTCCTTTCTTACAACGATACAGATTAATAAATTAGTCAATTCAGCAGATAGATGTTGGCAATTAGTCAAAACGTTTTAACATTTCAAACAGAATCAATCATTTCCTCCTCTCTCAAGTCTAAATGTCTATTGTTTTCATTTTTAGTTCCTGTTATATTTCAATTGATTTACAATGTTTTTTAATCTGGATACTTAATTTATTTTCAAAACACATCTTAGCTATTTTGCTCTCAAATTAATATAATTGTTATTTATATTCTTATAATCGCTAAATTATCCAAAGTAGGTTGATAAAGATAAAGAGTAATAACTGGCTTAAAAAAAACGTTGGATCTCACCATATTTACATGATTCAGAAATCCTAAATTACAAAAAAATTATTTTGTCTTCGATAAAATCGTTTGCTTTCCTAAATCATTAAGATTACATATAAATAAAGAAGTTACTTTAATAAATAAGTTCTACTTTATTTTATTTTTAGTTTCGGATTGAAGGTGAAAATTATTTCAATCCTTGATGAGACAAAACAAACATGTTTTTACTTTTTTTCTCACTCGTGCCTTACCTACATTTGTTTCATCAAATAATTTTTCGAATAACAAGGAAGATAGCGGAAAAAAAAGACAAGCGGTAATTGCGAAAGTCTATTTACAAAATTGAAATGATATTTATCTTATAAATGAATTATTTTGTAATTAAAACTTGTAGTGAATGATCACTGCGAAAAAAATTAATATAGGACATCCATCCGTACGGTTCCTAAGTATTTTTTAAAGCTTTAAAATAGTTTATAAATCATCCAATACCGAGCCGTATTGTTTTGTGTTTAGGTATAGGATAATATTTGCAGGGTTATCTCTTTTTGATAACTTACTGATTCAGTAAAAAAGTAAAGATGGAGAACGTTGATTGCCGGAAAAAAAGAGAAATTCTGCCTGTGTGATTTACTAATAAGCTGATAACAAAAAAAGTGATGACATGATAGATGGAAATGGGCAGGGGTGCCACCCTCCCATCACAAGTTATTTTATTCATCTCCTACTCTTAAAATAAAATGCAGGAGATAGTAGAATTAGAAAAATCGTAGATCTAATACAATTACACTTGAAATGGGTTGTCCCATGTTTCCTCTAGTTCTGTGGTTTAAAACTTTTCATTTTGGAAATCCATAAGCTCTTAAAAATTTGCCTACTTTAAAAAGTTTGATGGCGCAACTTGGAGCCCAACCATGTTCACCCCTTCAACCCTTTCTATTCCCCTCTGGAGATGGTAGGTTTTTAACTGTAAAAATATCGGTGGAATACTTATTATTCTATTCATTATTTTTTATTTTATTACTATTTCATCGATCGATCGATAGAACCGATTATTTGTCTTCTTGTTAAGTATTGATTTACATTAAGAAATGATTTACTCCATATTGAGTCTTAAAAAGTAATATATTATTATTACATAATCATAGTATAAATGCTTAATAACTCCATGTAAGTCATTAAAAAAGTGTTAATATAAATGGAAATTTGCAGGATGAGGACGCAACAAATGATAGGATGGAGCTTAGTGTGCTTGGTGGCTAGTAGTGGGTTCCTCCCGGTGCTTTCATATCCCAGCAACCAGCAGATCAGCGGTCCAACGTACCAGCATGGTCAGTACCAGGGACCCCAATACCAGCCTCAGTACCAGCCTCAGCAGCAGCAAGCAGAGGAAAGGAAATTTGCCGAAAAACCCAATTCGATTAAGAAGGTCCAGGCACTTGAAGACAGGAACGACTTGGATGACTTGAGCACCAACCAGATCACGGTAAATAGATGATCCAATACAGCTTTAAGACCTTAGAGTAATATTTGACTTGTTCATTTCATCATTCTGAAATTCAGAATAAAAAATAAACCTAGGTTAAACGGATTATTTTTGTAATATTCTATTCTAAAAAAAACACTAGCAGATCCATGAAGGAGAGAGAAATATAAAATAGATTTTTGGTATTTCATTGCCTCATATTCATTTAATGAGTGTCTTAGCTACCTAAATATTTAAACAATCACAATATGTAATCTTTTTAAATTATGGCGAATATACAGCTAATAAATGTAAGCACCTGTCAATTATATTTTTCCTTTTTTTTTTTTTGGACAGGCCTGTAAAAACCGCATTAACATAATTTTATATGGCTTTTTATTTTTTATTTCTTATGGTTTCTAAGCAATTATCATTATGCTATACAATTTATATAGAAAATAAAGAGAAATCCAATTTCATTAAAAATTAAATCGTAGGAAATTTAATAATAAACAAAAGATTATTACATAATACATGATTATCCAGTGTATGACTGTTTAAAGGAGTGTATTAAATGTGGATATGGCAGAGGCATTTTGGATTTGAAGATGGAAGAAAATCTATATTGTGATATTTATTTTCTTTAATAAAATAAAAATTGTTATAGGATGGCGGATTCTCATGGAGTAACATGATCGCAATGTTTATGCAAATGCTATTCAACCCTGCTGGTCATAGTGGTCCCAACAAATCTGACAGCCTTGATACCGATACGGTAAATATCTATTTTTTCATCAACATTTACATTTCAAATTATTATTAAGACATATTTTTTTGATAGAGTTGATTCTGGTGAATCCTAGAGCTTTCTTCTAAAGAGGCTATATTCAGAAACAAAAATACAGATAGTTGTGGATTATGTATGGCTGATGCTCTACAGTCTAATATATATAATAGTATCTATTACTTTTATGTCATCTAATATCATAGATTCTGCATTACAACAGATCATGAGGTGTATTAAATTTAATTACACGTTTATTTTTCTAATAAATAAAACTAGCTGGTTTTATTTTATATTAATAGATTTAGTTTGAACTTTAAATAAAAACAAGTTTTGTTTTATCCAAATAACTTTGAATGTATTTTTAAGAATATTTTTACTGCAGATATATTGCTATTCCATTAAGTCTATGGAAAATGTCCCTTTGGTAAACATTCTTTTTCTTCTGTTCTTTAAAATATAACAGACATATTTGATATTTCAGGGATTTTTAATTTCTATTTATTAGATTAAAAATTTGAAATATTGTAAAATCATTGCTTCATTAATGATGGCTCTTGTCGGTTTTTTTTTTATTAACCAGCATTATCTCTTTTTCGACACCTGAAAAGTTAAAATATATATATATATATATATATATATATATATATATATATATATATATATATATATATAATATTAATAAAGAAATATTTAATAATTATTTAAGTCATACCAGATTTAATATCCATTTCTATGTATAATTTTATCTTTTCAACATAGGGCATAGCTCCATCACCTTGGGCTAATCTCCTAACTGTTGGGTTGAAGATTCTCACAGCTCTCTTAGGAGGAGGTGGAGTTGGAGGTGATGGCATTGACAAGGTCGATAACTCTTCACCAATGCAGGTAAGAAATTATTATATTATTTAAAATTAGTATTGTTCATAGTGCATGCACAGTATCATAGCTATCTTAGATGATGCTTTCACATTAAAAATATAAAAAAAGTTATATCAATTGTAAATAGTAGTCTTGTAAAAAGCTACCTTTAACATACTGTACTAAGCTATAGTTTGTAAATATTCTCTTAGTAGTTTTAGAATTAGTTGGAATTCATATGTTTATGTGAAAGCAATGAATTAACAAGTCTATATTTTAAAATAGAATTTTATAGGTTAAAATTAAACTTTATAAAAAATATATTCTTCAATAATTTGTAAATAAGATGATACACACGTAATAAAAAACAAAATGTATTTTTACTCATGACTGGATAAGCAATGATATTTACATTACTTATCTTTTTATTATTAATTTTATTAAAACCCGATTATTATTACACCCTTAAAATTGTATCCCTGTTAGTCAGGTTATAATTCCATTAGATATTTGACCAGAATGATATTTTTTATTTGTATAAGAAATCCACATGCTCATTTCAAAACAAATAAGAGTGGTAGTAACATTACTTCTTATTTAATCTCATATAATTAATAATAAAAGAAAACTCCAAGGAAAAACATTTTATCGTCCAGAAATAGATTATTCTGACCAAAAATAAAATTTACTTTTAAAATTATTAATAAGATTATTAAAATTATAGATTGGATATTAGTGAAAATTCTGCAATTTGACTTCATCTGACCTTTTAAAACTCAGAGCTAATTATGAAAATTTCTTTTCAAAGAAATTAATTTAGCCAAAGTACTATTGAATAATTAAGATGAACAGTAATACTAACTACCAACATTACAAGATTAATACTTCACTATTCAAATATACAAAATTGTGTATATCTTAACTGTAATTTTCGAAGAATTATATACAATTTAAATTTAAATTATTGGCAAAGATAGTTGGAAAAATTTATTAAATAATTTATAGGATAAAGGGCAGTAGATAGATAAATTATTATAATTACTTTCTGCACAAATTCTTCTTCACTAGTTATAAATAAGTATTTCTTAAAGTATACTGTGCATGCACTTAATTATTCCTTTCAATTAAAAAAAAACATCATCTATTGTAAATTAGTTTATCAAAGATACTATTTGGGTTAAGGGAATTCTAAGGATAAGGTATTTATTTATATACATAATTTTGTTTTCGTTTCTAATTTTTCATGATCTTTAGTAACTTACTTTTTATTAGATTAATATTTGAACTTTCCTATTTCTTTTTGTTTATTTATTTTTTCATTATATATTTATTTGTTTTAGTCTTTGAATTTCATTGCTTGCACATTTGCACTTCTTGCTTTATAGAAGGTGAAACAATATTTTTATACTCAAATAAACTTAGTTCTTTCCATGTTGGAAATATAATTTCTTAAAACTTTTGCATATTAAAATGTTTCTTTTAAAGTCTTTTGTTATCCTTTAGAGCTATTACAGAATTGATCTCTCTTATTTTTATCACACTGAAGAAACGTAAAATATGTTATCGGTATCACACTCTGATGGTACATTTTATTAATTATAAATAAATAATATTATATAATAGCAAAATTCTAGTTTAAACAATAACGATATTACAGTTCTTCAAAGTTGAGCTTTGTTAAAGATATTGAGGACTTTCCCAACATTACTTTATATCTTTTTATTATTTACTAAAGTTTTTAAAACTCTATATCTTATGAGTTGGTTCTGATTATAATAATAGATTAATTTATGTTAATCCTGATATAATATGAAGAGGACAAGAAAATAAAATTATAGTGAAAGTAATTTATATTGATAAAATCTAAATATTTCCAACATATAATATACTATTTAATAAAGCATAGCAAAAGAAAATTTGAGTATAAATAGATTGTGTGGGAGTAGATAGTTGATAGTATAGCTAAGCTTTTGGTCCGCCTGGCGTACAGGGTGTGTTAGCAGCTGTCCTTTCTGCATTCCTTGGATCTCGGGACCCGGATCAAGTAGCTACTATGGCAAAGCAGGCTGGAGAAGTAAGTACAACTTTAGATAACTGTTAATATTAATATGTAAGTGACTTTTTCTTCTCACAATCACATAAATATATTTTTAATAGACAGTAATTTATTAAAGATATTATATTCTTATAATAAATGTAATGCAATCCAACAAAACTTTTTTTAACGTGAACAATATAATAAAATGTGTATTTATGATTATTTTTCTGTTATCTTTAGTTTATCAACATTGTCGTTAACCTTTTGGATGCCTTGAAAACTTCTTTCTCACATCGGTCTCTCGCAGCTAGGTCTATTGGCAAGAAAGATTCAGTTTCAGAAGCTGCCGTTGCCAGTCTGACTCTTGTTAAGGTAAGAGGAATCATAATAAAAATTTCTTGTATACAAGTATATATGATCCTTTATATTTATAACAATTGTAAGTATTTCTTTTGTTTATATGGGCTCAAATTATATAATAATTGTTACAAAAATTAATTGAATTGTTGTTCTGTATTGTGATTTTATTATTATAACATTAATATTCATTTAAGGGCTATGTAAAAACAATGAAAACATCAGATGAGAGCTGTATGCTGAAATACATGTGCGAAGCTAACAGGGAATGTACTGGAGACACCAATGGATCTTCATCTATTTTCTGCCAACTAGGATCGTAAGTATTTATTTTATTTTATTGACTCAAATTTGAAAATTCAACTCTAATAAAAATGTTTTTGTTATTGTATCTGTTTTTAGAATCATAATAACTTTTCTTTTTTTTAATATGTTACTATATTGGTATGAATGTGCTTAAGATGATCAATTTTATTTTAACTTGATTTTGATTTTCGACATCACATTCAAATTAAAATTTTATTCTTTATCAGTTTTGATTTGACTGGAATTTTTATTTTCAATTTATTTTCTGTTCTTTTGGAACTAGGAGTTTTTGATAAAAATGTTTACAGGACATTTATTTAAATCAATTTCAACTAAAAATAAATCTAAACAGGAAATTCTTAGCTACTCAAATGAAGGAAATATAAGAAGCAAGCAATTCATTTAAGAAAACTAGCGGATCTGATTTCGGGCTGAAACTCCTCCTCCCAACATAAACTGTCAAATCATTTATTTTTTTTCATTGGTCTATATTTGTTACTATGGCTAATCTAACCTAGATACTTAAATAATCACAATATGTTCCATTTTTTAAATTATAATGCATATATAATTATTAAATACTTAGTATGACTTATGAAGAAAATATTTCTAAAAGTTTTATAGTTCATATTATTACTTTTTTTTATATAAGGCTTCAAGAATCACCCAAACATAATTTCATATAGTTAGTTAGTTTCTTTCTATTCTTCTAAAGTAATTATCGTTATATATGTATAAAAACGCTTTTGGGCCAAAGCCTACAAAATTAGATCTGCTGCTGTTCAAGAGAAATAATATTTTTACTAAGTACTTATTTCTCATTTAATAAAAACTAACTATTATAATGAACCCAAAATTTTATTAAAGAAAAGTTCCTAAGAACTTTTGTTTTAAAAATACTTTTTCAGAACAATTTGTTTTAAAAACAACATAAAAGTTTCAAGCCCTGCTTGTTTTGTTGTTATTTAATTTATAAATTTCTACTTTTATTATTTATATCATCCACCAAAAACTCATTATGTTTCTTGTTAATAATCTTAAGGGAAAGTAATTTGATTCCCATCTCATTAAGTTAATTTTCTATTATATAATTTTAATTATTTAATAATTTTAATAATTTTTGGGCATGAATTTGATATCATGTTGCATTTTTATTAATACAAATAAAATTAAAAGCATAAATAGAAAAAAATCCATATAAATATCAGAAAAAAACTTGAGAAATGTAAATAGAAATAAAACAATAGATAAAGAAATGTATCTTGAAAATTAAAATGGCATAAGATATTTATTTTCAGTTAAGTAACTAAATTATCTCTGTAGGAAAAAGAATTTTTCAAAGTTTAACTGAACTAGTCAGTTATATCCTAATGTTTTATTTTTTCCCATTATCTCTCATTTTAGAAATTGAAAATTATGATCTATAATAAATGGTTACAAGCTAAAATAGTAGTTAACTCAATTATTGTTAACATCATTAAAATAGATTAAATTAACAAAATAGATTAAATTACTATTGAGGCTATGATTGCTGAGTCTAGCGGCACCAGTTTGAATCGTGCTTGTGTGTGTTGAAATTGATTTTGTGGCAGAACCACAGAATGAATCTTACTTTTCCCATTATAGATAGGATAAGATTGGTTGCACCTCTAGTACTTCCCCCATATATGCCATAAATGGCTCGTTAGAGGGTAATTGAAAACAAAAAAAAAAGGTTAAATTACTATACAAATTTGTCTGTATGATATTAACTCAAAATATATTCTCACAGGTATGTCGCTAGCTTTATGCTACAAAGAAATGGACTTACACCATTCGACTCCTACTATGAAGCTGGTAGGAGAGGGCGAAGTGGAGATGATTGTCATCAGATTTACCTGTCATGTAATGAAGTTTAGCCAGATACGATAATAATGGCCTCTGTAGTGCCTCCTTCCAAGGACCAATCAAACATTACTCAAATCTAACAGATCTCACTCCAATCAATTATTTTCATTTTTCATTTTAAAAAAGAACAAAAAAGACTCAATAGCTTTTTTATTTACATATACTAAATTTTGTAAAAATTTTTTCATCATAAGACTGGCACACAGAAAAATTGAGTAATGTTTTTATTTTAGCTGATTCGGCAAATTAGAAAAGAATTGGTGAACATAAATATAAAAACCAAAAAATATATTATTTATTTTCTTAATAAATAAGTTAATTTATTGATAATGTTTCTAGGGTTGTAAATTGCAATAAATGTGTAAGATACTATATGATGGCTTTGAACAATGATATAATGAATCGTGTTAAGCACCTTCTTTATACTTTATTTAAGCCCACAGGGTGCCTGGTTGAAGCAGATGAATTTTTAGAAGGTTTTTTGCTTTCTGTAGTCCTTTGCAAATGTTTACATTTCAGCCAGTTGATTATTATTATTCATTTCCAATGTTTTATTGGAAAATAATTTTATTAAATCCTATTTATTTTATTCCTCCTTATCTGTTTGTCTGTTGTAGCTTCATTGAGTTACATGTCTTTACAGTGATAATGTACTTTAATTGTATTCTTTTTGATCTATGCATCAAGCGATTTTAATGTATCTGTTTTTTAATAACAATTAAATACTGAGTTCTAATATTGTTAGTATAAACATTGTATATTACTTTATGGCTGCAACAGATGTTTGACTGAGTATTTTATTATTTAGGCTGTCAGTGATGCTTTTAAGAGTTGTTTTTATACAATATGATTGTTACAAATGTGGAAGATAGGTATGATTGAATTATTTATATTTTATGTGTTATATGTTGATAATGTGTGTGATTTCATTTTGTATGTATGATGTATGTGTGTGACTGTCAATAAATGTTTTTAAAAAAACCTTTGAAAATTATTTCCTGAACCCAAATACTGTATAATTGGAAAATTCAAAACCCAAAGGCTTTGTGTCTCTTAGAATTTTTACTATTTTGTAAATACTTATTACTCACAAAATTCTTAATATTAAATTTCAAAAGAGTATATTAATTGTCAATCTAAATTTAATACATGAAGGAATATTTCAAACTCTTTTTGTTCAAATTACTTTATTACATTTTTAATTATTTCAAAATATGATGTTTCAGGGCATATTTGTCATATAAAAAGTGCAATAAAGTAATTTGAACAAAAAGAGTTTACAATATTCCTCTGTATACAGACCTCTGATATCATCTTCAACCAGCTTGTTCAAATACTTGGCTTTGCTAATGACTTGGATATTATCGCAAGATCCTTTGAGTCCTTGAATGAAGCTTTTCTCAAGTTGGCACAGGGTGTGGTAGATATGGGAGTATGTATAAACAAGGAGAAGACTGCATATATGAGAGATATCCTCAGGGCCTGGAACAGAGACATCCCATAATGATTGGCCAGTTCATGTTCCAGAACTTCGACTAAATTGTGTACCTGAGGTCAATAGTGAATTGTGAAAACTGGATCTGGGGAAACCATTTAGCCATTCATCAAAGCTATTTTGGTCGTAGTAAGGACCTGAGAAGTTCCTATCACTTCTGCTGTACTAAGTGCCTCTTATATAAGACCATTATTTTAGGCACATCCTGACTTATGGATCAGAGACCTGGACCCTTTCTAGTAATGAGGAGAGGAAGATTTTAATATTCAAAAGATTTTGACTAATATTTGGGCCAGGAAGGGTGAGATTGTTAGGGCAAGGTTGATGTAATGAGGTGTATTAGGTTGAAAAATCTGGGGACGGCTGACTGAAAAAGAAATGCCCAGGAAACTGCTGGATAAGAAGCTCTACCAGGCAGAGAAACCCTTAGTTTGGATGGGAAGAAACTGTTTCCAGGGATGCCGACAACCTACTTAACATCTACAATTAGCGAATGGCAGCACAAGATTGAGTAAACTGATGAAGACTGTTCGAGAAGACCAAGGACCACATTGGAGGATGTGTATTATAATACTTTGTGCTCAATAAAATTTTGTACTAATTTAATATAAATAGTTATGATCAAAGTAAGAATATTAATAAAGAGCTTCATAAATCTTTATGTGATATTGAGTTTTAATCTAATACACTGATGGGATCTATGGATGGGAGAACGAATTACATTATATTCACTTCTTCAATTATTAAATTAAATTGTACAGGTACTGAACACAAGCATGAGTCAGGAAAAAATATTTTAAAAATTATCTCTTAAAACATTATGGTTTCTTTAATAACTTTTTTTTTTGCCTTCATTAGTCACTTAAACATCATTTCAGGTAGGTATTTTTTTTACTGAGTAATTACCGTTATTAAAAAAAAAGAAATAAAAAATAACCACAACCAAATTAAATTTGGGTCCATATGTATTTCTATCTAGTATGTATTTTGTCACTATTGATTGCCTTGGCAAAATCTGGTTGGTTATCTCTAAAGAATAATTAACAAAAAAACAAGAATGATACTATATTTCAATATTTAATAAAGATTTATCTATTTTTAATCGTATTTATGAAGAATTGTTTAAATAAATTTTAGAAATGAAATCAATCCATAGCTCACTTAAAAATAAGAAAAAAAAAAAAGATTTTCACACACACAAAACTCATCTAGATAATAAAATAAATAAAACTCATAAAGGGTCTTATCTATATTTATAAATAACTTGTTTTTATAATTAAATTGATTTATATATATTTTCTTGTTTACAGAGGTGACAAAATATATTAAGGAAATAAAAACTCCAAGCTGTGAAAAGTTCATTGACCTTGAATATAGTTTTTTCATTTTGGGGCATGTTGTGAACCAGAATTTTAATTAAATTGAGCATATATGTCTCACAACCTTAAACTAAAACTTAAATGAGATGGTGTCCAACAGCGCTATGTTTACTTAAATTTTGATTGAGGAGTAAATTTACAATTCATTTTAAGTTTTCAATAATATTCATGTTTAGTGACTGTTGAGGGCTATGCAGATATTTATTTACAAACTTTTTTGATTTTTATGTGGATTTATTTAATTTATCATGTATTAAATAATAATACATTTATTAACACTTTCAAGAATAATGCACCTACACTTTCACTAATGAATAACAATCAAATAAGAACATAGAAGAATAGTTTACTTTAATGGAGTTCATTGGAATAAGTGAAGAAGTTTAAGTACTTTGGTACCCAAATAAATGAACTTAGATGGATCAACAGAAAAACAAAAGGAAGAGTGAAGTGTGCAGGAATGTGTTTCATGGCCATCAAGAAAGGATTCTTGAAAAAGGAAGAAGTGAGCAAGGAAACCAAAATGACCAACCAAATTACTGTCCTCCCTCTAATCATCTATTCCAATGAGTGATGGAGTCTCACCAAAGCACATAAGTCAGATTCAGGCCATGGAGATATGATTCCTGGGCAGGATCAAAAGAAAAACAAAGAGAGGCCCCATAAGGAACTCCACTGTAAGAAAAAAATTGAACATAAGAACAGCTGGGTCTGTGATAGAGATGAATCATTTGAGGTGGTTTGATCATGTCTTTTGGATGATGGTGTGCAATAGTGGCCAGAATTGCGTTGGAAAGTAAAGTTGATGAAAGAAGGCCTCGGGGAAGAGTTAATATTAGTTAATATTGAATGAAACTGAAAAGATGGCATTATTTTAATGTTGGAGGTTTTAGCAGAACCACACAGTTCTATCCCGTATGTCCAAATTGATTATATAAAGTTTTAAATTAATAAATAAAAATTGTTTACTCAACGTAGGTAGATAACATTTTTAAAATTTATAAAATGAATACTATTTTGAAAAACAAATGTCGATCACCATAGGTTCTTTTTATTCCTTTGGTAACCAAGCCAATAAAATATATGTTTTTGTAGTAATTGTTTTCTTTTACCTTTTTCCTTAATTAAAATGTAAAATATTATTTATAATTCTTAAAAATGACTATATTATTAAATCAATAAATAAAGCAGATTTATTGTCTTAGAGAATATTAACAGACGAAATATTAAGTAATTGGCCCATTACGATTGGCCACAAAGAGAATATTTAGAGCGGCGGAATCGATGCTGAATGATTGGAAGATGAAAAGCATGGTTTTACAAATAGAACTGAAACTAATACACAGTTTCCAAAGCCATTCATTTGATTGGCAGAACTCGTTGAACATGTTACCCGGGCAGATACTCATTATCATGAACTATTTCAGGACGCTCAAAATATCGTCTCTCTCAGTTTTTCTCTGTCTTTCAGAGGGTACGTAAATTAATATAAACTCAAAGTATTTAAATGTTCTTTTCATGAGCATTTTTTTTTTTTGTATAAAAAATGAAAAACGAAAAAACAAAATAGGAAAATTATGTCAATTTTTAGCGTATGGATATTTAAATAATAAATACATCGCTTTAAAAATATTGATCGTAAAAAAGAATGCAAGTCAAAAGTCATCCATTAGGTAAATCTAAAATAAATAATAATGAACAGTTTAATAAGTAAATATTACCTAAATAAATATATATCTTATCTAGATAGAGGCCGTGGTGGTCAAGCGAGTTAAAGCCGATGAAAAATGTTTATACTACGAGTTTGAACCCTGTTCATTTAATAAAAAAAAAATATTATAAGAATTAAAATAAATAAGTGCAGTCTCTAATCCATTGCTTAGACTACTATGGCGCACATTGAGCGACCCCTGTGTCTAACAACTTAGCTCCTTGGTCCTCCAATTCGGGGGTTGGGCACAGGACTGTTACCCCTATCCTGTAAAAAAACAACAGGATAGAAATGTTCTGCAAAAGGTTATTAACCGTCCTGATGAAGAGGGAGTGATTTGTGATCGCGTTCGGTTATTATAAACCACGTGCTCTCTGGATGTCTATATAAGAGAACCAAACGATCACATATATCGCCTAGAACAATGCTGCTAGAAGACTAATAGCGGAAGTTGAATAAGTCAAGAGGCGTTTTAAAAAAATCTTATTTAGATAATATTTATTCACAGACAAGGTAGATACAATTCGAGTGCGATTAGAAGGATAGTAGGCGAACTCATGTGCCACTAATAAGTTGAAACTCACATTATGATTTCAGATATTATTTTAAAAAATTTACAAGTAATTATTGAATGGATGGAAAGATGATACCATAATCTTCTAACTCATGTATATGGTAGTAAATATTTTGTAAATAATATCGGAGAGTTAGGGAAAAAAACTAAATGTAAGTATCAACTTAAAACTCCTTGAGTACATCTTACAGTTTCCAACTGATCACGGTTGAACTTTCGAATATAAATCGGCTTCCTATTGCTTAGACTGTAGGCACCAAGGCAGAGATTCAGATTTTTCCAAAATAGGCCAGCTTAATTTTGCCGTCCTCAGTAAAATTCATAATTTTTATAGCAATATTTTAGGTAATATATTTCACAATAAAAGTCATTATTTAATAATTTTATTGGCTTATCAAAGGCCCAAATAACCAAAAAACAGAGAATTACATTTTTTACCCAAGTTAAATACTTTTATCCGAAATTTTTCGCACTCTAAATCCTGGCACCCGGGAAATTCTCACTTTGTTCTGGCCCTGGTAGGGAACGACCACATTTTGAGTTTAATCTTAATACATAAATTTTCTCTTGACAGTAACTGATCTTTGTCAGGAAGACTTGTGGTCAACAGACGCTTCAGGGGGCGGGGTGGCCGAATAGGCTAAAGCGTGTGCACAGCACCGCTAGTTGCCTGGCAACCGGATAACAGAGATTTGAGATGATATAAAAAGTACGAGTTCGCGTCCCGGTGCCGGAGGGGATTTTAAATTCCCTGCCCTCACCCTCCGGCCCGGGAAAATCCCGTATAGCCTAAAAGGCGAGGTAGGGAAGAACAAAAAAAAAAAAAAAAAAAATAGACGCTTAAGGCGCTTTTTAAAATTTACAAATTTTCAAAAAATGATTAGCTTTCTAATATTGTGTATCTTTAAAGAATTCAGAATGATGGAGAATCTGTTTTTTTTTTTTAAGAATAATTTTAGTATTGGGACTAAAAAAAAAATCTCTCTATTAAGATTGATCATTCTGTCTCAGAACACAAGACTTTTACACTAAGACAGTTTTCTCAAGAAGGCTTTCAAATCAGTTTCGGCTACAGCCCTGACTCTGCAGGGTCAGTATTAGATCTTAACTGCTATAATCAGGTATGCTAACATCAGAAAGGCTTTACTTTATAATTAATGTAAACAATTATGTAAAAATTTATATGTTTTTATAATTCAGATATGTTTTACAGACTACAGATAGGATAGACGGAGAATGGTTAGTATTGGGCAAGGCAGAGGAAGTGACGGCACTTCGTATTTTGCCAGACAGCAGGGTGACACTTCTCACTGCAGATGGTATTTTCCTGGATATCTACAGACCAGCAATGTCTTTACCTTTAAGGCTGGATAATTACACTGGACGAAGAGATCACTCAAATCTTAAAGGAGTTACACTGAAAGCAGTTACGATGGTATGCCCCTCAGATCATCAGGAGTAAAATAAACGAATATTTAACTTCATATCCTGTTTTACAATGAACTTAAATAGTAACGTTTTAGTCGAATGATTATTGTGGGCGAGGTGGCAAAATGGGCTAAAGCGTGTGCATAATAGCACCACCGTTGCTCGGCAACCTGTGATATATGATAAATTATATAAAAATAGTCACGAGTTGGCGTCCCGGTGCCAAGGTGTCTTTTAAATCCCCACCCACACCCTCTGGTTCGGGAAAACCCCGTATAGCCTTAACGGCGAGGAAGGGGAGGACAAAAAAGAAGTCGAATGATTATTATTTTTATTCTAAAAATCCTACTTGAAAAATAAGATATTTAATGATGGGTAACAGTTCAATCGTTCAGGGTTATTAGTAGTATTAACAATAATAGTTTTGTATAAATAATTATTAGTTTACAAAGATCATAATTTAATTTTCTGAAATCATAATTGAAAATTTTTGTTCTGTTCATCATAGGCTATACGAGGTTACCAATCACACAATGACAGATGAGAACAAGTGGAGTTAATTTTTGTTTTTATTTCTGTATCTTTTCTTATAGTTTCAAACTAAATTTTGTTGAAAAAAAGCCTGTTGTTTAAAAAAAAAAAATCAATCCTTTTGTGGCTGTCTTTCAATCTGTTTTTTTTTTTAAATCATAAAACGCCTTATTTACTGTGATACTCAAGATGGCAAAGAGTTACTTTAATAGTTTTGATGAAAAAAGTTGTAATAATATTATTGACATATGATCTGTTATAAGGGAAAGATATACAAATTAAAACAAATATATTTTCAAACTAGTGACATCTGATAATAATAATCGATTTATTGATACATTTTCGGAAGAATATTTTCTTCACAGGCTCGACATATCTTCCCTAAATTCATTTTATATTTTTATTAATCTTTAATAGCCAGTTTTTTCAAGAAACAGAAACTGATATAAAGACCATTTCGTGATATATGTAATAAAATTAGTTTTTTAGTTAACATTGAAAATTAGGTACTCTCATAAATCATATACATTGTTACTAATGTCTAAGTTGGTAGGATTGATAAGAAATAAAAAAGTTAAGAATTGAGAAAACCACAAAACAAAAACCTACAATAGATAAAAATATAATAAATAATGAAATAAAAATATCTTTGAATTAATATCTTAAAAAGTCTTCAGAAATTTTAAATCAGCTGTCGAATGCTTTTTAGTTCCTTATTATTTATTTCTTAGTTATGCAAATGATCCGTGATTTTAATTTAATTATGAAGCCATGAACCCGAAATGCATTATATTTTTTGGGTATCTAAGACATAAGAGATAAGTAAAAAGCTCACTACAAGTTATTTGAAATAAAAATAATGAACATAACAGTTAACGAGGATGGATACAATTTAAATGTTATCAGCTCTTCGTGTTAATTTTAATTTTTTAAGCTTTGCGTTCAGATTTCCAAACACTGAACATGTAAATAATTTTTTTTTTTTTGCTTTTTATTATATATATTTTTTTAAGGATGATCAAGTTACGTCTATGCAGATGGAAGAGGCAGAAGGCTTGTTTGGGCAGTACGGGTGCCTCAGCACGAAATCGGGAGGTTGGACTCCTCAAATGAGTGAAGTCTTGGTAGATAACTTGGCACAACAGCTCAATTTTAAGTAAAAATGTTTTGTATTTATTTTATTAGAATAATTACAATTCAGTCAAAAGTGTGTGGTTTTTACCATATCACGGATTAGAAAACCATAGATTGTACTATAACTTATCGAAGTATGTTAAATATATTTTTTGAAGTTGAACTTTTAATTATTTATTCGGTAACATAAGCCATGAATCGAATCTAGGGTTGGGAGATCCTTCTAGTCGAAGCATATCTAGCTTCTGTAAAATGGGTATTATTAAGTAATTGGTTAAGATGCTGAGCTATATCCATCAAACCACCTCCTTGTGCAACCGTTGACCAATAAATAATACTTCCTTACAAAGTGCTGAACCCAAGACCTTTCATGAATTAAATGAACAAGTTTTAAGGAGGATCAAGTTACGTCTATGCAGATGGAAGAGGCAGAAGGCTTTTTCGGATTAGAATCAATTTAAGAAAGATTAATATAGATCGACTATGTTAAAAGAAAATCTGCTGAGGCTAATTATTTGTGTACTTAGCCACAAATAATTACCAGTCTGGCCTGAGACGCCCTGGTGTGTACATCGGTGTAATTCGTTCATATAATCTCTCAGTTTACTTCAATTTAATTTTCAGTGCAGTTAAGTTCAGTTTTTTTTTTCTCTTCTCTTTTTCAAAAAAACACTATTATTAATCACGCTATTAAGTGTCGGATCTTCACACCAATCGGAGTAAAGAAAGCGCAGCGAGATTGATAGAGTTCTGGGAGCAACGAGCTGGCAGGCGTCTACTAATCCTAACAGCATTAGACGTTGTTTACTACCGTCAACAGTCTTGGTATTTATTTATATTTTATTTGCGAAGTAATTCTCATTAATAAATTTAAAAAATGGTGCAGTGTAATATTTGCAACAACTCTATCGTACGCGAAGATAAGAACAATATACACTGCGTTAAGTGTAAAATAATTTTTCATGGTAGGTGCGTCAACCTTACTGATAAAGACTCCGAAGCATTAAAAATAATTAAAAAAACATGGGTTTGCTCTAACTGCGAACAGGTGAAAAAACAAAATAACGAGCCGTCCCCCTCAGAAATACTTGCGGCAGTAAACCGTTTAGACGCTACCGTGAACGAAGATATAAAAAACATGAAAACAGCACTAGATAAATACGGAGAGCTCAGTTTTGAACTAAACGAAAGACTGACGAAGATTGAAAAACATCTGGAAGGTCAAGCTAAAAAATTTGAGGAGATACTATTAGAAAATAAAGCACTCAAATCCCGAGTGGGCGAATTAGAGGTTCGCTTGAATAACGCAGAGCAAGGACTATTGAGTAGATCACTGGAGATCCGCGGTATACCGGAGCGACCGGGCGAAACGCCCGCTGCTTTGGTGACCAGTATAGGAGCAAGCTTGGGGATCAGGCTTAGTGTGGAGGACCTGGACAACGTACATCGCCGCAGAAGCCGAAAAGATGACTCGCGACCACCGCCTGTTATCGCACGTTTTGTCAGGCAATCAATTAGAGATGACTTAATTACGAAAAGGAAAGTGAAGAGGGATTTCTCCACGCGGGATATCGGTTGGCAGGAAAATGACTGCCACCGAATTTATCTGGGTGAAGAGATGACTCGCACAAACAGACACCTCTATTGGTTAGCCCGGCAGAAGAGAGCGGCGGGAAAAATCAAATATACGTGGTTTGCTTCCGGAAAGGTGCGGTGTCGAAAAGAGGACGGACATAGAGTCATCCTGATAGAACAGGCCTCGGATCTAGATGTATTTGACTGACTACCTAGAAGCCGTCAACCCCTTAGCCTCATTAAAATAGTCTTACTTCTTCTCTTAGTGCTATCTCTACACCGTCACTCATCAATCTATTTATTTTCAAGTACATTCTCTTTATTTATTTTTAATGTTAATATTACTTTTTCTTCACTTAGTTTCATGTACGATAATCGCTTTTCTGTACTTTCTACTCGTTTTGTCTTCTCGCTACCAAACACTGACTGTTTCTCTCCAAATCCACTGTATGTCTAGTTCCCTAATCACATGTCAAGTTAACTCTCAATCACTTTCTGCCCATTATGACGAATTCCTGCAATACTTTACCCAAAACTTTTATCATATCATAGCAATATCCGAAACCTGGCTTAAACCTTATATTCCATCATCTTCAGTATCCTTGCCGAATTACATCCTGCTCCGTCATGACCGGGTAAACCGGACTGGCGGTGGAGTAGCCATGTTTGTCCACAATAGCCTAAAGACCCGAATCCTCGATTGCTCCCCATCTTCCGATCATCCTCATGTAGAATATCTCTTAGTAGAAATTCTCAGTAATATTTCTCCTATCCTTTACGCCGTGGTATATCGCCCTCCTCTCGTGCCATTTGACCCGTCCTTCGAATCAACTCTATTCAACTTCGTTCCCCTCTATCCCAGAATAATTATCTCCGGTGACCTCAATACCAATTTCCTCTCAAAATCCAATGACAAATCCTATTTAGAAAATCTGTTTTTCTCACTTCACCTATTCATCGTTCCTTTTTCCTCCACCCACCACACCAGCAGATCTGACACTTGGCTAGACTTCTACATCATCGACTCAGCACAAAACCTCCTCTCCGCCTCTCAAGTGCCAGTATCCTTTCTTTCATCTCATGATCTGATACAAATAACGTATAATATCCGCACTCCTCCAATCCATCCTCGAACTATCACTTTCCGCCAACTGGATACCCTTACTCGAGAAAAAATATTACCTGATCTAGTAACATTGGATTTAAATGGAATATATCATTGCTCCTCTGTCGACACCATGGTTGATATTCTCACCACCAATCTTCTCAATATACTCAATACCCACGCTCCTCTCAAAACCTCCACTTTCCGTCATCGTCCTGCTCCTTGGATGTGTCAGGAAATTAAGGATCTGCAGAAGAGACGCGACGCTGCACGCAGACGCTTCAGACGGACTAGGCTTGCAGATGATTATCAAATATTCAGAATGCTTCGCAACACGACACAGACAAGGATCCGACAAGCGAAAGCGAACTACTTTCACGAAGCCCTTTCCTCAGCTCCTGATATCAAATCAAAATGGCTTCTACTTCGTAAGCTTTCCCTCTGTGAACCTTCTAGATCCCCTTCCTCAGTTTTCCCAATATCACCTGATGACCTAAACTCCCACTTTATATCGGTTTCTACCTCTTCGTTACCATCCCCTTCCGGCTTTTCTCCAGAGGTACCTTTTAACGACAATAATTTTTATTTTTCCGACATTTCTCCCACAGACCTTATTACCGTTATAATGAAATCCCGTTCCAATTCCGTAGGCCCAGATGGCATTCCTATCAAACTAATAAAATTATGCCTCCCTGAAATCCTCCCAGCACTCCTTTTCATCTACAATTTCTCCCTGCAGAATTCAATATTCCCGACCTCTTGGAAAAAAGCCATTGTCCTTCCTTTAAACAAAAAGCCTAATCCATCCTCTCCCGAAGATTTCCGCCCAATATCAATCCTTTCCAATCTTTCTAAACCCCTAGAAAAGTTAGTGCAATCCCAAGTTTCCAACTTCCTTGAACAATCCAACCAACTCGATCCTCTCCAATCTGGCTTCCGTCCTGGCTACTCTACACAATCTGCTCTGATTAAAATTACTAGTGATATCCAGACTGCAATAGATGACAAAAAACTAACCATTCTTATACTTCTTGATTTCTCTAAAGCTTTCGATTCCATTATCCATTCCATCCTTTTCAACAAACTAAAATCATTATCCTTCTCCAAGAGTTCCATCTCTTGGTTCCAGTCTTTCCTCTCACAACGAACCCAAGCAGTTTCCATACCTAATCAACCTCTATCTGCCTACCTTCCTTTATCCTCAGGAGTTGCACAGGGTTCAAGCATGTCTCCTCTTCTTTTCAGTTCTTATATTAATGACCTAAATGATACAATTATCCATTGTTCCCACCACCTTTATGCCGACGATTCTCAAATCTATTTATCCTTTTCTCCCACTGAGTTATTGGTGGCATATGCCAAAATTCAAGAAGATTTAGATCGAATTAATGCCTGGGCCAACTTAAATGGATTAAGGCTAAATGCTGCCAAAACTCAGGCCATTCTCATTGGTTCCAAGCCCCTTCTTAGATCCCACACCAACTTTCCCTCACTCTATCTAAACAACCACCCCATCACCTTCTATCCCTTTGTTAAAAATTTAGGCTTTCTCATAGATCAAACCCTTTCCTGGAATCACCATATCTCTCATATATCCCGCCGTGCAATTTCTACCCTCAAACTATTCCATCACTTCCGCCATCTTCTACCCCAAAATACCCGTAGACTCCTAGTTTCCTCTCTCATCTTTCCCCACTTTGACTACAGCTGTGTGGTGTACGATGGCCTCTCGGTGGAACTGCGTGATAGACTCAAAAGACTTATGAATTGCTTCGTAAGATTTGTAATCGGAACCCCGAGACGCTCCCGTGTCTCCCACCACTACACTGAGTTAGGGTGGCTCTTCCCCTCCTTAAGAAGACAATATTTCCTTGGCACTTTCCTTTATCAAATCATTACCGATCATCGTCCTTCTTATGCCTACAACCTTCTCCAATTTAAGTCCTCAATCCATTCACTCACTACAAGATCCCGACCCTCTGACCTATACATCCCTTCTCATAGATCTGCCTCATTCCAAAATTCCTTTATAGCCCGCTCTGTCAACTTTTGGAATTCCCTCCCGATCAAAATTCGACATGCCCCTTCCCTGTACACATTCAAAAACCTCCTATTCCAATTCCTGTTCCAAAAACAGTCAGATACCAGCTAACGATTAATATTATATATGTATTGTGTAGCAATCATAACACTTGGTAAGAGATAGTACATGCATTTCCTACTATCGACGTAGGAATTTCAATACATACATTTTTTTTTATTTTTTTTTTTTTATTCAATTATAAGTAACTGTTTATTTTCATATATATATTCAAGTAAAGTTTTTTTTTTTTATGAAATGAACTCATTGTATCTCTTTTTCGTTCTTCATTTCTCAAAGTTTATGTTTATGTTGTTCAACCCTTAAATATAATTTTGTTCATAGTTCAAATGATTCGTTCATAGTTTTAATTGTTTTATTCATAATTTTAAATGCTCTATACATAGTTGTATCTGTATTGTATATAGCTTGTGCACCTAAGGTTTTCTTTACTTTTTATTTTATTTTATCAATGTTATTTATTGTTTCAACGTTCAGGCCAGTAATATTCTATTATTTTGTACATTATTGTTATTCTGAAGGGACTTAGTCCCAGAATAAAGTTTTTTTTTCTATCTATCTATCTATCTATCTACTTCATTGTGTTATATTTATATACGATGCTTACTGCATCCTGGTTCCACCGTGGTTTGGAGACATGAACCACGACCAGAGTTGAAGACCAATTTGAACAGAAAGCATTACACCGAATTTACAGCGGTGTGTATGGGATCAATGAATGGAAGAGGAAGCACAATGAACGGGAGCTGTGTGACCTATATCAATGACATATGCTGTGTCATCAAACTTGGAAGGATCAGAGGGGCAGGACATCTAGCCAGGTTGTCTGACGACTTATCTATCAAGAGAACTATGATCGAGCCATTGTATAGTCGTCGTAGAGTTGGAAGACCTAAGTAGCGATGGGCAGATAGTGTAGCCCATGATGCTAGAAATTATTTAAAGGTACAAAATTTGACGGCAGTGACACAGCATGGCGGTTAGGGTTGGAGGAATTGGAGGAACAACTCTTTATGGTTTATAGTGCTAGGATGTTTAAAGGGAATCATATTTTTGATTTTTTTTTTTTCAATTTGAAACTTTCATATATTTTACAACTTTTATTTAATATCCTTTTATCATTCAATATCTGGTTCAATATTTGGTAATAAGAACATCTAACATGTGATTTTAATTTCATTTTAAGAGTGAAGAGGAAGAAAGTGACTAATTGCAAGGCTCTGTACAATTCCTTATCCGAAGGTGCCGTGGACTTCAGCTCCACAGCCATCATGATGACACCAGAGAGAATGCGGTACAGCAGCTTCACAGGAGACCTCTTTGAGTATAAGTAAGTAGATTAGCACATTCACCGTTACAGAAATTATCAAAAGGTGCAAGGTTTTATTCTGGCATCAGGGCTCTCGAATAAGACGTATACAAAAATGTACCAATACTCGCTTTTCTAATGTACGTCTGTTTTTATATTTGTGTCAACAGAAAACAACCCTTCTAGATCATAATTTTCTAGAATTTTTAACGAAAGTCAACACTTTTTTTTTTTTTTTAAATCTTTATGTATTATTTACTGCTTGGATCAAATAGAGAAGATTTAAATTCTAATGATTTGCAATAATGTTAAATAAAAAAACTTGATGGGTGTTACTTGTGATCTTGTGCTTTCTCAATTGATGATTAATTTTTTTCTTTAGTCACCACTTTATTCAAGTGCTCAAACTAAATATAAACTATTTCCCAGTATTTTGGTTAATATATTTATAAGAAAATATCAACATTAACCGATTTTATTGACTTAATCCTAGTAAAAAAATATAAAAATTAGAAGTAAACAATAACAGTCTCTCCTTCCAGATTTTAAATTATAATATCGAAGTATTTTAAATCTATTTTTTCTTATTTTATGGGTATTTATATTTTCTAAAATTCTAATCTTTTCAATATTTTCATATGTATGCATTCTGATAATTATTTCCGGGAATTCATTTACAAAAAATAAATTTTGCTTTTCTTTTTTCTCCTTTACTCTATTATTAAATTATTTCATAATTAATATATAGCCAGTTTCTATCACTACTGACAATGAATTTAATTATTTAAAACAAAGAAAATTGAAGCTATTTCAAAGGAAGAAACATCAAAATTTGAGTATTTAAGCTCTGTTAGGCGACATAAATTGAGGATGAGACCTATTTGATGTTAAAGAATATTTAACTGTAAATTGATAAATCGAATTTAATCAATCGTTAGAGCCGTTTTCAAGAAACTGGTATAAATGTGTAAAATCGATGATATAAAGTGGCATTAGTACCTTAAATTTGTAATTTCAATTTCTTGCGACTTTTCGTTTTTGGATTAGGCTGTTGACATAAATACAGACATACACACACATACCATATTGTGGGATTTGATTGTTTGAACTCAGAGGACTCAAAACGTGTATTTCCGTTGAAAACTCAGATTCAATTTTTTTCACGATCTCAATACTTTTCCTTACTATGCATTACATATATATAGGTAAGTGAAAGTAAAAATAGTTTCATATAATTTATTTTATTTTAAAAACATAATCATTATGATTACAGAAGCATGATTCTCTTCAAGCACCCCAGGCTACCTGTGATGAAGAACATTTATGTTTTACCGTTTCACCGCAACGTTTGGTTTTGTTGTATCGCTTTATTCTTCATATGTTTTGGTTTACTCCTCGCTGCCACGGTAAGTTACCCCGGAGTGTTTGAGGCACACACTTACTCTACTTCCACGGACATACTCACCCTTCTGATCGGAGTTGCTAGTCAACAAGGTAAGTTCCATGACTCTACAATATACTTAATAACTAATGTGTTATAAATAATTGTCTCAACAGTAATCAATACTATTTTATGTCAACAGGAATAGACCTTGGAGCTCGCTCTCCTTCTACCAGGATGGTATTACTTCTCTTTTCCATCTGCTCTCTTTTTCTGAGCACCTCATATTCCGCCAACATCGTGGCGCTCATCCAGAGTGGTGCCGAGACAATAACGACCGTTGCAGATCTGATCCAATCACCTCTGAGCTTCGCAGTGCAAGATGTACCCTTTGTAAAGAACTATCTGAAAGTCAGTTTAATTTCCCATACTTATTTTTGTTGGTTTAGAAATATCAATATATACAAATGACTTGAAAAAATAAATTATAAATATCAATTACCCTATGAACTTTACTAACATAAATGTGCTGTCAGGAAATCACTTCAGGAAACTAATGAGGCTGTGTTGATAAACTTTTACCACAAACACACTTTTATTCTTCTAAATCAACATCACAATAACAGAAACAAAGGACTACTACTCTGTGGGTAACCTCACCTAAGCCAACCAGCCTTTGTTTACAACAGCTTAGCAGTGCTGCCTGATAACATGCATTAACTCTACAATAAACCTGTTTTGATTCCGTACAAAGATAAGATACACAAAGGTATTAAACCATTGATAGACAGCTACTGCAATATTAATTTTATTTATTTAATCTCTCTATATTTTGAGTGAAGAATCCCATAAAAATAGAGTCTGTCTCTATACAACAATTATTAAGTATTAAACTTTTTTCCCTTTCACATCAGTATTACTACGCCATTAGAACTAACTTACAAAAAACATAGTAGGCCAAAAATCAGACAGTTAAAATAATACCAATTGTTAACATTAATTAAAAACTCTAAAATTGTTAACAGAAACTGTAAAATGATTACATAATACATTTTACTAGCTGGCCCATGCGAATAATTCGCATAAATTATTGGTCAGAGAACAGGTGATAAAATAGTATGGAAATATGCTAATGAAATCTATTTTAGAGAAATGCGTTTTATAAATCAAAACTTTTGTACAGTTTACTGTAGTCTATATCTTTGCTCACAATGGTCCGAGGTATATATTTTGTTTTTGTAGGAAATTTTGTAACCTTTTAATTATTTATTTTTTCTGAGATGTTGGTGGTTGTGTTTAGACAATCTTTAAGATGATGGTCTGATAATTGGAGCTAACGAAAATATGGTGAAATAAAACACCAGTGAGAAATAAAAGATAGTATATATTTTATTTATTTCTAACGATATGGACTTATTCCAACCACCTAAGAGTCATTATAGCTCTTACAATATATTTATACTACACAAATAAAAAAAAATATGGTGCGCGCAACACACAACTTTCACTTACCGATCTACTTTGAATAGAAATTATTTTCTGGCAATGCTATTATAAAATTTTTTGCAGTGCATTTTAAACGGAGCTAAAGCTTAAAAATTACAGATAACAAATCATTAAGACCATTATAATTACAAAATGTCTATTTAATATATCGACGACAGGCAATAAAATTCTATTCACTCTATCTGCTTTTATAAACCACACAAATTTCTTTACTTTTATAAACCACAGAATGACTAACACCAATTTCAACATTTTTGAGTGATGTCATTTTAGTGATATTTTTAGTTGAAAAAGTTATCTATGCAGACAATGAGTAAGTTGATTCCAGAATAGGTGATTGCAGTGTTGAAATACAGAACTGAGAATAAAAGTATAAACTTAGGTACTACTTTCTTATGAAAGATGTTCTTAGGAAAGGCACTTTATTAAATATCTGTAGAAAAATGGCTTTTTTAGTCTCAAAAATTAAAAAAATATATTTTAAATTTATCCAATTTTTCACCTCTTGAGGGAAAAAAACTAAAGACCATATCTTTCCTCCTAATTGTCCGATTTTAACGATTGATTTTTTTTGTTTTTTTAGGAAATTCCATAAACTTTTAAAAAACCACATACAATATCCCCCAAAAAGCGTATACTTTTTGAGTTATTCGGAATTTAATTTTAACATCCCTCGTAACTTTTTTTCCAGCAACTTCTTGTAACTTCTTTTCGTTGAAGTATGTTATATATGTTATAGATAAATTTAAAGGATATCGAGAAAATGACTTTAGCGAAGTTTTATTGAAATCGGTACATTCGTTAAGGCGCTAGTCTGAAGGAACGCAGGTTTTTCTGCATTTTTATTTTTTTCTCCTTTATTAACTTATAAAATTCTTTCAAAATTTATATGTATCATTTTTTCGTAACTCTGATTAATGCGAAATGGTTAACATTTTAAAATAAACCATATTAAAGGTACTTTAGAGGAAGACATATATGAACGTTGGGCATTTAAGCCCTGTAAAGTTACATCAGCGGGGATAAAACCTAAATGATATTAAAGACCACTTAATTATACTATGATACACCGAGTTTGATCTAAATCGTTAGAGTCAATTTCGAGAAAATTGTAAAAATGTGTTTCAGCGTGTTTCATAAAGTGGCACTTCCGGTTAGCCGATTTTGAAGTTGCTGTCACATCCGGGCCATATACAAACCTTAAATACTTAATATCAGTTTCGTACTACTTTTCGTTTATGAGCTAGACTGTTAACACACACACACAGACAGACGCACACACACAGACCATTTTGCGACACTTGGTTATTTGAATTCAGGGGACCTCAAAACATGTATTCCCGTTGAAAACGGAGATTCGAAAATTTTCACGATCGCAATACTTACCCTTACTATATATTACATATATACGTAAGTGAAAGTAATAACAGAAAACTTGAAGGTAGAAAACATTAACATTTCCAAAAAAAAAAAAAAAAGAAATTGTTATACAGTTTTGTTTTTTAAATAAATAAAAACAATTTGTTGCCATCTTCGTGTTGTTTTTCAAAATTTCAGCAATATTATTTTCCAACTTCACTTCATTACGATATTCTTTATTTTATAGGCACAACGCTCAGTCTAGGTGATATTTAGCAAGCAGGAAAAAAACTCTGGGGATGTCCCCTCTGTCAATAGGTGTTAATGTGTTAGCCTATGTTTAGAAGTTCAATTAAAAGATTAATCAAATAAACCAAAGACCGAAATAAATTATGTAACAACATCCATTACAGATTTTCACTACAATATTCAGAGGATCTTGTATCGAGTTTACCCACCTGTTCCCAATATTTTGAGGTATTATTGATGAAAAAATATAATATTCTCATATCGTCTATGGTTATTAGTTCAAATATTTCCATCTCATTAAGATTTGCCATACTTTAGTAACATCTTACCACCAAAGTATTATATATTGGGCATTCGAACTTTTTTGTTTACTGACACCTTAATCACATATTTACCAGTAGGCAGGTCTTCATCAATAACCTAGTATATTTAAAGTTAACCAGTATTAATAAATACTGAGACATCTGGGAACTGTTAAAAAAAAATTTGAATGTTTACTGGAACCTGAACTACCTACGTGATGTTTTCTTGTTACTTTCTTGGAGATGTAGCTATTACAACAAGTAAACCATAGCAACGTCAAGTCAAGCTGCCGCGAAAGATGGATTTACAAATACCCAATCACGCTAAGAAGAAGGGATAATAAAATGCTAATGTTTTAATCTGATTCTCCAGAATTAGATTAGATTGAAAAGAAAAAAATAACAGAAGGATTTGTGGAATATTTATTAGATTCAGATCAAAGTTATTTAAAAAACAAAAAAAAACAATGCTAATTATATCACAATGGTTTATTATTCCCAAACAATTATACATCTAAAGTAACATTGTCTTCCTAGTAACAAATAAAAAGAAATGAAAAATGATTCCAATTATTGGACTAAACTTTTTTTTTTAACCATTAGCTAAAATAATTAGAACTACTTCAGTAATAAATTCAAAAACCAAAACCCATAAAAAGGATATAACCTTTGCAGTATAACATATAAAAAAAATGTAGAGACCATATCTTTGCTCCTAATTGTCTGATTATAACAATTTTTTTAAGGAAATTCTGTAAACATTTAAATAACCATCAACAAAAAAGTTTATACTTTTTGAGTTATTCGGAATCTAATTTTACCACCCCTCGTACATTTTTTTCCAGCTCCTTTTCGTTGAAGTATGTTACATACAGGATCCGAGAAGTAGACTTCAGTGAAGTTTCATTGAAATCGGTACATTCGTTTAGGTGCTAGAGTCTATAGCAACGCAGGTTTTTCGGGCGCCATTATGAAAGGAAAAGGCGGATAGACATGTCGATGAAGGAGGATCATCCTAGGATGACCTCTAATTTTAAATCCAAATTTGAATAAAATCGGTCCTGTAGTTTAGGAGAAAATGCGAGGACGGCGGATGGACAAAAACTTTTTTATTCGTTTTTTCGAATTCTAAGTAACCTGAAACGTAAAACCTCAAATTTTGAGAGAGGGTTAAGTTTTTGAATTTTTTGTTCCGTCATGATGATTTATTGTTGAAAATAATAAACCGAAATTGTTGAGTTCAAGGAGAAACATTAAATTAAATAGACAAGCAATTAGAAATGATCTTTTAATTTTTATATATTGGTTACATTAAAAATATTTATTTGTGTATGTTTCTAGAAAATACTAGATATTTGCACTTATCGAAGGTCCTCATTGCGGTGCGGGAATGAGTTTTCTTCCTGTTTAAGAGCGTTTATGCTTTTTTAGGATATTATTTATTTCACTTCGTTTCAATAATTCCATTGTTCCCTTTTGGACCAAATAAAGTGAAATTCAGGGAGTAAAATTGATTTCTAGGCATTACAATACAATAATGATTTGGACATATCTGTCTAAATTTCGGGATGTACGAACGTTTGTCCCCGTTTTTATTTATTTTTTTTTGAGTATTGCGCATCTCTACAGCCGTTCCTAATAAAGTTGGTACTGGAGAAGTGTATTTCGAGGATCTCATCTTATATTGTATAATATAAATATTGTTAAATATGTCTGTTTATAATATTCATATATGTGGAAGAGCTTTTCTTCTTTCAGGAAGGCGATAGAGAAACAAGAGACCTCTATGACAAAAAAATTATGAAAGGAAATACAAATCCCTTTATGTCAGCAGAAAGAGGAATTGAGAAGATGAAGAACGAAGTATTTGCATTTCATGTAAACAATTCATTATTTTTTGAATAGTAGTGTATTTTTTACAATGAGCTGATAGAAATGTGGAGTGCTAGAATGGCTCTCAAAATTTTATTTTTTAAGTTATATTAATGCTTTCAACGGTTAAATTATGAGGGACAGTAAGAGTTACAAGATATAAAAATATTTTAATAATAATAATATTTTGAAAATAGTTAAAGGAAAGTTATTTATTATTATAATGATTAATTCTATCAAAAGCCATTTGATTGTAAAAGTAAACTGTTCTATCGTTTAATATTAAATGATAATACTCATTTCTTTGAAATCCCTTCATTGTCTAACTTCAAATTGAATCGTCAAGGGAATGATTTAGTCGTGACAGTAATTTTGTTTGATTATCTCTCTTCCAACAAAATGATTTCCAATCGATTGGGGTAGTTTACTACTACAATCTACTTACCTTTCAACATATATTAGGTGGTTTTAAATTAAGGTAGCAATCATGTCATTTCAAACCTTTGGCGACGGAAACTATTCAGTTAATTTTATAATAATATTTAAGTATTATTGCGAATTTTGTATCTAACAAACAACGATTGGTTTTTCCATATAATTAATCTTAATAGTTGTAATTTCATAGAACTTATAATGATTGAGCATTATCCTGTTGTGAAAAGGTGGAGACAAGCCATGCATATAAAATAATGTCGACAACGTACACATCGCAGGAAAAGTGCGGACTTAGCGAACTTCATGTCTACACTTATCCCCGATACTCTATCCCAGTTATGAAGGATTCAGGATATAGAAACCTTTTTACTTCCAGGTATGTATGATTGTAGAATATTATAACAAACTGTCACAATAAAAAAATTATATAATATAATATTCCTTTATATACGCCTCAGAACATAGGTGGACATCTTTCATTTTCAGACATAATAGAAAAAAAAACAATTTTTGTTTAATGCTTCCATTCAAACTAATTCTGATAATTATTTCCATAATTAAACTTACCAATGTTTATTAATTATATTCAGAATGTGACACCAAAAGTTATTCAAATTAGTCTTTGAAGATTTGTTTTTACAGAGGTTCATTCTTGAAATGAAAATTAGTAATTCTTCGTTTTTTATAAAAATCACTCCAAATCATTTATAAACTGCAGGGGACAGCAAAAGTTTTCATACACTGACTGATAAGAAATAAAAACATATTTCATATGTCTATATTTAAACGCTTGAATGTAACTTCAATACTGCTTTTATCATTTTTTTTTTCAAAAATATTCGCCTACGAATAATTACATATACTTTAAATACAAATATAAGAATTTTACTGCTGGAAAAAATTTCATATATAATTATATTCTACTCAAAATTTTAAATTGATATTTTGAATGTAATCCTTTGTTTTAGAATTCCGTTTAGGCATTGATATGATTAACTTTGAAATTAATTGAAGGGTGGGCATTTCCCCTCAGTCTTCAAAAAAATTATTTTTAATATATTTTACTGACGTTATCTTTTGATTTTTGAACTGTAGATCGACACGAATCCATAAAAGCTCAGTAGGTTTTAAATATGGATTCTGGAGAGGAGAATATTCTGGATCTGAATATGAGAGTATTCTGGATATATATATATATATATATATATATATATATATATATATATATATATATATATATATATACTTTTTTATCCCTACTATTTTTATTATATGCTACAAATTTATTGCATTTTACAGTAAAATAATAGTTTCCGGTGACTTTGATGCCAATCTGCTTTCCGATTCCCACAACAAACACTACCTGGAAAACCTTTTCTTCTCCCATAACCTCTTTATTGTCCCATTTGCTCCTACTCATCACACTGCCGATCTGACACATGGCTGGACCTGTTTTTCATCGATTTTGTCCTCGTCTTAATTACCTTTTGCTTTCCTCTCTTCTCATAACCTCATCCTACTATCGTACAATACCCAGACACCTGCGATCCTTCCTAAAACAATATCCTTCTGCAATATAAATGCCCTAACTCGTGAAAGCACCCTGCTGGATATTGAAACCCTGAATTGGAATGATGTTTACACCTGCTCCTCAATTGCTACCAACGTAGATATCATGACTTCTAATCTCCTCCATAATCCTTAATACCTATGTTCCAGTTCAGGGCAAGCTTGAATAAATTCATGTTAAACTCAACGAAAACTTGGGCCATTCTCGTAGGTTACAACTCCCTCCTTAGATCCATTCCCACCCTTCTTTCCTTGATTAAAAAAACTTAGGAATTATCATTGATCAAAACTTATTCTGAAAACTCCATATTTTTCATATTTTCAGAATTTCAATAGGTACACTTAAACTATTTTATCATTCTCATCAGCATCTCCCACAACCTATCTGTAAGCTCCTCATTTTCTCAATGATTTTCTCTCACTTTGACTACTCCTATGTGGTATACAGCGTCCTCTCGTTGGTGTTTGAGGACAGACTGAAGAGAATCATGGACTGTTTTTTAAGATTTGTCTTCGGCACTTCGAGATGGTCTCATGTGTCCACCTTTATGCCAAGTAAAAGTGGCTCTTTCTGCTGCCATTAAACGGAAATTTCTTATATCAAACGATCAACTCCCAGTACCCTATATCTATTGTCTTCTTCTCCCTAAACCTTCAGTCCAATCATTAAAAACGAGATCCCTTGTTTCTGATCTCTATATCCCCTCCCATAGGACAAAAACCTATGAAGGCTTCCTTCTTATGAACCTTAGGAACGTTATAACCTTATGGACGTCCACATAACATCCATGCCTCTTCCCTGTCATCTTTCAAATATCCTTTTTCAATACCTCCTTACATCTTAATCAGACGACATTCAACCATAAAATTTCATTTTATGAATTGAATTTGGAAGGAATAAATAGTGGTGCCTAGTATCTAAGTTTTAGCATAAAACATCAATGACTTTTGCCACCTAGTTTGATTATTATTTTTACTATTTATTTGCTTTTCACTTTTTTCTTTCTGTGTATATATGTCTATATGTATGTATTATTTTTTTTATGTATTTTTATTTTTCTCTATTTTTCCATTTCAACTATAATAATGTTTCTGTTTATCTGTTAACATATCATTATTTACAGTACTATACATACAGTTAGAATTTTATAGTGTTAGTTTATTAATTTAGCCTGCTTTTATTATTTTAGTATCTAAATCAAAGCTTTTTTGTTATCTTATTATTTTATTTTTTAATATATTTTTTATTTATCCAGGTTATACTGTTTGTCTCTCTCTGTACCAATATGTGCATGTATGTATACATATATTTCTTTTTTTTTCATTACTCTACAAGTATTCCTGAGAAGATTTTATTTTTATTTCTTTTAGTGTTTGCATATTATTATGTAAATCACTGTAGACATTATTACATTTTGTATTAAGTTAGCTTTTTTATTAGTTAGCTTATTGTTTATAAATTGTGTAGTTATGTATATATAAATATGGAATTTATTTTTCCTCCATTACAATAATAAGTATTTTTGGAAGATTTTTTTTTTTTTTTACAAAGTCCTGATATATACATCCAAAGTTTTCATACAGCCAGTTCTGACATATAGTATAGAAGAATGGATAGAAAGGTAGGTAGGCGAGAGAAAACTACTAGTTTCGAAAGAAAAATATTTTGCCCAGTAAAGGAAGATTATGAATGGAGAATATGACATAACTACGAACTGGCAACTTCTACTTGGAGCTGGATCTAGAAGTATTTCTACATAGCAAGACTAAGATGGGTGCACAATATTGTTTGGATGGATAAGATTTCAACCCCAAAGAAGTTTCTCATCATGGAATCAAATGGAAAAAGAAAAGTGAAAAGAAATGGCAGAATTCTTGAATCAGGAACTGATGGACAGTCAAATAGGACAGAGAAAAGTAGAATATGACAATTGGGACAGCCAAAATTATTGAGCTTGGGATGATGATGAAAAGAATAACCCATGATATATAGATATAACTATTCTAAAAAGGGCATATCCAGCTTAAAACAAAAAATGGGAGCTTTTCCTAAATCTAATTTTCTTCATATAAGGGGTAACTTTTTTTTTTTTGTAATTAGTTTCTAAAAAAATGTTGAAGCACTAAAGAAACACCTGTTAATATCAATAAATTTTTCAAATTTTGTTGTTAATACTATTTTGTTTTAATTTTTGTCCATGTTGGAAGGGTGGGACAGCTGCATCTCCTTGATATACCCATTTACTTTGATAATAATATATGCCCCTTATGAAGCAAAAACATGCAGTATACTGTTAATTATGGATAAAGATACAGAATTGAAATAAGTTGAAAAAACCTTTTTGATTTGTTAAATTTAATTTATGGTAGAAAATTGGCAACCATATTTGGCTTAATCATAACTAATCTAAATGAGATAATAGATACTATATAGATATTAGTGAGAGGATAAATTAGGTGGTCAAAGCATAACTTTGACTATTCAGTCTATCTAAACAAAATTGAGCATTAGATACATCTATCAGCATCTACCTTATAGATCATTTATAGATTATTACAGCCACCAGTAGTCTAAAACAAAAGTCTGTTTCATTTAATATAATCTATTATATTACAATGCATTATTATAGATAATTATCAATATATTTCTTTGATTCCAGTTTGAGCCGGCAGCGGGAATGTGGATTAATCAGAAGAGCTGAACAAAAGGTCCTTGAAAGGAAACCAGCTTGCACGGCCAAAGACAGTGGTTTTGTGAGTGTTACCTTTGGCGATTTTCTTCCTGGGCTTTTGGTGCTATGCTGGGGCATGGCAGCTGCCTTCATTGCACTTTTAGTTGAGATAACTACTAGTAAATGCAACTTGATGGCTAAGAGAGAGAAGAGGAAAGAGAAATAATTGTATGGCCTTTCTTAATGATATTTAAAAGAATTACGAAAAATAATGAAACACTTACAATATCATATGAAAACATTTCCAATAAAGTGTCAAAGAGCACCTTTAATATTAATATAAAAAAAACTTAAAGTTTTGGTTGTTTGTATGATTCATATGATAATATTAGAAAATTAAAATTAAATATTTTTAATTAGAGAACTACAATAAAATCATAATGCTCCTCAACTGTATTGAATTGCTAACTGACACAGCATACTAATCCATCTGATTGACAATATATTTATTTTGAAAACTGTAGACATTTGTTTATTTGAAATAAGAATATAATTGTTTTGAATATGTACTGTATCGTTAAAAAATAAAAATAAAATAAACAAAATATGTATTATTTTTATTTCTTCAAAGAATAAATTTTGGCAAACCAAACCTACAAAAAACATAGAAAATCAGATCAAAGAAAAAAGTTAAGAGGATAAACTATAATTAGAAAACGGTTAAATAAACAAGACAATGTTAAATAAAATAAATAAAACTATCTTGCTTCATTCATTACTTTTAAAAAATAAATAAATTTGTCTACAAAAGATTTATAGAGTAGGTCCTCACAAAAGTTCATCAAATTAATTAGAATCAGTACTGTTCATTATTTTCTCTATCAGGACTACCTCACTAGATGATGGAAGCTTGGTTTTACGATTAAAGCAATATTTTGAAGCTACCGTAATTGTTCTCTGCATACTGCAGATTACAGACTGCCAGACATATAAAATAAAGATCCTTCATTGATCCTTTTTGTCCTTCATTGATATATATATATATATATATATATATATATACTCTTCTCTTTGAAATTATTAGGGACTTCATGATAAGACTATGAACATTAGAGACCAGATTTCCATGTTATAGTACATTTTATTCAACTGCATATAAAAACTTCAAAACTGATTGATTATCTATCAATTTCATGATCAGTAGAATACATATTAAAATTTTATATTGCATTTCACAATTTTGATTTTTGATCCATCAAATTGTATATATTTGCATTTTTTGTGCTTTGTTAGATAATTTGTAAATATATATGTATTTAAATAATTACCGTTTTATTTTACTATTTTGTCCATTTTAAATTTATAATTAAAGATAGAAACATCTGAGGAAGGTAAATAATGCTGTGACTAACAACAGTTCGAATATTACAAAAAGAAGTAAACAAAAGTCGGGAATATTCTTGGAATAGAACTTGTCTAAAGTATTGGATAGCAATAAAAAGCTGCCTTCCAGGATTAAGCTGCTTTGTTTGAAAGATATTTATTATAATAGCTTTGACTTGAATTCTCACTCATTGTTGAGCTCAATGATCAATAGTCAAAAAAATATTTTTTTAGTGATCTAGAAAAACAGCATGAATACTAAAATTTGGATGCTTGGAAATCTCAAGTATCACAGTGTATTTCTAATGTTCCCTAAAAATTTCTAGGGATTTAATTTTCAACGTTGCATTTTAATTTCATTTTTTTTCCCTTGTTACAAGTTATTTTAATTCTGAAGCTCAATGCAAGGTATATCAGATTTTGATGAATTAATATTATAAATTAAAAAAATGAGATGATTTATGCATGTTTTTAGATGTTAATGACACAATTTTACATATTTTGGTATCTTTACCTAATGATCATCTTTTAAACATGATTTTATTTATTATGATCCTTATTCCTTTATAATTTGACAGTCTTTTATATAATAGGACAGAACGCAAAAGTGATAAAATTAAATTAGCAGGATAAAAAAAAAAAGATTTTACTAACGAAATAAGTCAAGACTCTGCTATTATTTTGAGTTGTTAAATCATAGAACACTAGTTTTTTGAATTCTGTGAAGTGAATGAAATTAAGGCAAATTAAAAAAAATTAACTTTATTATTTTGGAATATAAGTCTCTTTAGAATAAATTAATGAGCTCCTGCTTTCTAGCTTCTGACTCCAACCACAGATCTTCTAACAGCAGCCACACAATCTTCCAATGGAGGCTCGGACATCCAACCCTCCTGGTACCATAAATTTATTTTAATAGGATTCTGGAAATACTTATATTTAGACTCTCATAAATTTAAATAAATTCCATTAGCAATATAATATGCTTCAATAATAAAAATATATTATTGTAAAAAAAATTGAAGAAGCTATGGATCATTTGAAGAAATGAAGGTGAAAGTTTTACGTGATTGGTCCTAAAGATCAATATGCGAAAAACCAATTGATAAATATTAATACCAAGGCCCAAAAAATAATTTCTGAATGTCCATTTGGTTATCACAACGAATTCATTTATCTTGGTGACCAAATAACCATCTTTGGGCAATTTAACGATATAATAAGAAGAATCTCATTGGGGTGTAGAGCCATGTCAAAGCATAAGTTGTTTTAGAAAAGCATGGCCAATATAAAATTTTCTCACTGAAGAAGGCCTACACTCACTGTCTGATTTTGGTTAAAGAATAAAAAAAAAAGTTAGTGCATTAGTGTTATATATGTTAATAGTTGTAAAAATCTCTAACAACAATGTATATCTCTAATTTTTACTGATTTTTTATTTAATGCATATTACAATTAATACAGTTTTTTTTTTATAAGGAATAGGTAAATAATGGATTACTATACTTATTTTTAATTTATTGTTATACATATTTAGTTTCTTTAATTGATCAGTTTTCAATAAAGGTTTTTATAATTTATTGAACTTTAAATTACCCATTAGTATTTTCCTTCACAGATAATGTGACAATAGACTTTTTTTTTCCTTTATTCATTAATTTAAGATTGTAAATGCAATGTAATGGTTTATAATAACGCTGAAGTGTAAAACAATAAAGAATCAAATAAAGTTATATAAATAGATATACAATAAAATATATAATAATTCTTCATATCCCATTCATTTATTTTATTTGAATTCATTTAACAAAACAAGTATTGATTTTGACAGCAGTCAAAAGGTGGAAAATGATAATTTAAGAACTTTTCTATCTTTATCCAGATTCACCTAAATAAAATACTGCACTTAATTCAGGTAAGTATCATTGAAATTATTTGACAAATCACTTATTAAAAGTGCTTTTAAAAACTGATACCATATATCGTTTATTGCAAAAAGTCACTTAGTGCATATTTGGAACTGAACTTTTAACAATATAATGGTAAATTTTAATCATATTTATACATGCAAAAACTTATTAAATGCATTAAAATAATAATAACTCAATTATGCATCCAACTATAGCTAAACTATGTAAACAGGATTCTGATTTCACAGAAGAAAAGTTCAACAAATTAATTAGTGATTTATTATTATAAAATATTACTTACATTGTACACAATAGGTTACAAACAGTACGAAACCTCCTTGGTGTCACCATGATATAAATATATATTATTTATATAAATATGATATATTCTTTATAAGACTCTAAATATTATATTAGAGTCTCTCAAGAAATGACGTATGGGAAACTCTAAAATATCAGGACAACTTAAATTTCTCTGAAAAATTAATACGACACTGAATAATGGAAATTTAATGAAGGGCTCAGTAAGACTTGAAAATAGCCCTAGTGATGGTCGAAACGTTGTTGTAATAGCTATAAAGCTATAAATAAATAAAATTTTGGTGAATACTGGCCTAAATTATATAACAAATAAAACCTCAAGACACCTATTCTAGGAGTAATGAACAGAAGGGATATAAATATAACTATCACTATTGAAAGTTTAAAAATCTCGATATGTCCCGTGGAAATTCCAAAATAATTGTTATTGCTTTTAGAAGAATTTAAAGACTCCATAATGTTGTACAAAGATGCGTTGAAATTAATAACCTCCTAAAAACTGCTACTGATAATAACAAGACAAAAATTATGAAAAAGGATAATTGCTTATAACAGAGCTTTCACTTCTCTGGACTGGGTACTTATAACAATCTTGACCCTCTCCCATGCGTGAGCCAAAAAAATATCACTTGAGTGGCACTTTAAAATTATTTATAGAACAAGAATTGACCTTGAAGTTGAATTAAATGAAAGGATAATGAGAGGTAGCTATGAATAATTAATAATTGTAAACAATCTTGACAGTTTTATAAGAAGATTTTTTATATTGTTATATTACCTTTAATGTTTTAATGTGCATTTTTTATTTTTATTTTAACTCTATGAAAGTCATATTTTTTTGAGCTAATATCTGTCCAGGAAACTTATATGGGAATAATGCAGTAATATCTTTAATACTTTATTACATATTATATTCTTTTACTGAATTTAAATTTTAGTCTGAATATCCTTCTTTGAGTGTGTAGCTTACTTATAGATGTCATAAACTTGAGGAAATAATATTTAAAACAACAAATAAATAAAATCAATGGTATGTGTATGCTGTTTTTTAAATGTGGTTTAACTAACCCAAATATCTGAAATTAAGGGAAACTAATTACCAGAAAGAAATCAAAATTAATATAATTATAGTGATAGTAAGCCAAGTAAGCAGTAACATTTAAATTCATTTATTTCTATAAAACATTCATATGGCGTAGGGAGGTGGCGGTTCCATCGCCCGGTCATTGTACCGCAACCAGCCACTGGCCCTCCAGGTTGGGGGGACACTTACACTCACACTCACACACCAAGTACACTTTATACAGCACACTACAACACCTAAACACTACAGACAGAGGTCACCTACAGTACACACCCTAGGTGGGGGCGGGGTGGCCGAATAGGCTAAAGCGTGTGCACAGCACCGCTAGTTGCCTGGCAACCAGATAACAGAGATTTGAGATGATATAAAAAGTACGAGTTCGCGTCCCGGTGCCGGAGGGGATTTTAAATTCCCCGCCCTCACCCCCCGGCCCGGGAAAATCCCGTATAGCCTAAAAGGCGAGGTAGGGAAGAACAAAAAAAAAAAAAAAAAAAAAAAAAAAAGTACACACCCTAGGGTCACCTTCCCTAGGTAGCCGCCCCGGATGGGGGAGCTAGTCAGGAGGCTTGAAGGAGGCAGCCCCTCTACCTGACTGGGGGGCAGTGGGCTGATAACCCACCCTCCCTAAAGTACCTTATTACGAAACCTCAAAGAGAAGAAGCCGGACTGAATTACGATAACAGACCCAGGAAACGCCTAAATGACCTAAGAATTGGATTTTGGAACATTTTATCATTACATAGACTAGGAGCACTTCGTGCGCTCCTTGCAGAAGTGGATACATACAGAATCGACATAGCAGCTATCCAAGAGGTCCGATGGATAGGACAGGGAATTATGGAGAAGAAGTACCATACACTCTATTATAGCTTCCACGAAAAGCATCACATCTTCGGTACCGGATTTGTTGTGAGAGGCAGAGCTCGACAGCTGGTGATGCGATTTACTCCCATTAACCAAAGGTTATGCTACATTCGGCTTAGAGGAAAATTTTTTAATTTCTCTCTAATCAACTGCCATGCCCCAACAGAGGTGTCACCTGAGGAGGATAAGGAAACATTCTATGAAGAACTTGGACGCGTGACAGAAAGCTGCCCCAAAAATGATGTTAAAATCATTCTTGGTGACTTTAACGCCCAAGTTGGTAAGGAGGTGGCACTCATGCCGACCATAGGAACCCACAGCTTGCATGAGACCAGTAATGATTATGGGCTACGGATGGTGAACTTTGCTACATTGCACGGACTGGTTGTTGGAACAACTCTTTTTCCTCGAAAGAATATCCACAAAGCAACATGGGCAAATGGGCAAACAACATCACAGATAGACCATGTACTCATTAGTGCCCGTCACAAGTCCAACATGATAAATGCAAGATCTTATAGAGGTGCAAATATGGACACGGATCACTATTTGAGCATTGCCGAGGTCAGATCACGAATTTCGCTGATTAAAAACCACCACCAACGACCAAAGAAGACGATTGATGTAGCTAAACTTAAGGACTCAGACCACCAATATTCGTATCAACAAGCTGTGGAGACGAAACTTAATGAAGAAGTAATTAATGACAGCTCTATGGTCGATGAACAGTGGAAGAGATGCAGCAACGCAATGAAACAGGCAGCAGAGGAATCTCTTGGCTACGAGACTAAATCTAGAAGGCCCCCATGGTTTTATGCTGAGTGCCTTCAAGCAGTAAAAGTGAAAAATGAAGCCTACAGAAAGAAGGTTCAGCGTCCCACAAGGCTCTCCCAAGAAACATATCGAAGAAAAAGACGCGAAGAGAAGAGATTATTCCGCGGAAAGAGAAGAGCTTGGGAAAATAAGAACATGGAGGACACAGAGGCACTGCGCGGCCAAAATGAAAGTCGGCTGTTCTTTCAGAGAATAAACGAGGGTAGGGCAGCTTTCAGGCCCAGAGTGACGGCATGCAAGGACACGAATGGAACTCTTTTAAGCCACAAAGATAAAGTACTAAGGAGATGGGTACAACATTTCAAAGACGCATTAAACAGAGGAACGGTGCCTGGAGAAGTAGGAGTAATGAAGGAAGACTCCCTGAATTCTATTGAACCCCCGGATGAGGAGGAAATGGAAAACGCCCTGAGGAAATTGAAAAATGGAAAGGCGCCAGGCCCGGACTGAATCCAGTCAGAGCTGTTGAAATGTGGAGGTGAAGAACTCAAGAAAGCTCTGCATGATTTAATGCTGACCATCTGGGAGAGGGAAGCTATGCCTACGGAATGGGCAACAGCCATTATCTGCCCAATACATAAGAAAGGAGATCAAACAGAATGCGCTAACTATTGAGGAATCTCACTCCTTTCATGTGCTTATAAGCTGCTCTCTAACATTCTTTTTGAGAGGATCCTCCCGTATTCTGAAAAGGAACTGGGGAAATATCAGGCTGGATTTCGAAGAGGATGCTCAACCACTGATCAATTGTTCTCTCTGAGGATGATCCTAGAAAAGACTATGGAGCGTAAGGTAGTCACCCACCATTTATTCCTAGACTTTAAAGCAGCATACGACAGCCTTGATAGAACGCAACTATACTGTGCCTTGGAGGAGCTAAGCATCCCTCAGAAGCTCGTACGCCTAATCAAGATGACCATGGACAGCTCGAGATGTATAATACGCGTTGGTTCTGATGACTCTGAAGAGTTTAAAGTGAGCAGTAGGGTTAGGCAAGGGGATGCCCTCGCCTGTCTATTGTTCAACTTGGCAGAGGAGAAAGCTGTAAGAGACTCCGGTATTCAGACTAACGATATAATCTTCAATTGCCTGACACAGCTTCTTGGTTTTGCTGATGATATTGACATAATAGGTAGGTCTGAACGGGCTCTCAGAGAAGCGTTTATAGTCCTTGAAGCAGCTGCAAGACCACTTGGTCTAGAAGTCAACGAGAGGAAAACTAAGTATATGAGAGTTGGTGGTGAGGTGGATCTGAACTCTCCATTTGAGGTAGGTTCTTTTAAGTTTGAGAGAGTGAAAAGTTTTGTATACCTTGGGTCTGAAATTAATAGCAAAAATGACATAGCTCAAGAAATACAAAGAAGGATCACGGCTGCCAATAGATGTGTCTTTGGACTTGGCCGACACTTAAGAAGTAGGTACCTCTCAAAGAAGACCAAGCTGATCATATACAAGACCCTTGTTCGGCCTGTTTTGACATATGGCTCAGAGGCTTGGACGATGACTAAAAACGATGAGATGAAGCTGAGTGTGTTTGAGCGAGGAGTCCTCAGAAGGATTTATGGTCCAGTAAAGGAGGGTGATGTCTGGAGGAAAAGAAAAAATAGGGAGCTCAGTTCTCTCTATACAGACATCGACGTAGTCACGTATATTAAACTGGCCAGACTAAGGTGGGCAGGGCATGTGGCCAGAGTGAGCACCATTGAGATATCCAAGAAAATAATGATGGAGGAGCTGCACCTCGCAAGACCGGGTAGGAAGGCCGAGGACGAGGTGGTTGGACAACGTGGCTTATGATGCGAGAACCCTGCTTGGTGTACGGAACTGGAGAGCTGAAGCAGAAGACAGAGCCAACTGGCGGAGGCTCTTGGAGGAGGCCCAGTCTCGGTAACGGGATGTCGTGCCACATATGGTGATGATGACAAAACATTCATGCTCATGGTAAATATAAGGTAAAAATAATGGTATAAATAACACTTCTATGGCCCTCTGCACCACAGGAGTTGTGGGGGTGTTATTTATTTTTATGTATATAGTTTAAAAATGGATGACTTCATTGAAAGGTTCTGAAAATATTTTAATACCCTGAATCATTCATTTCGAGACCATTGACAATATTGTGTGAAGATAACAGCAATACTAATACCAGTAATAATTAAGGATCAGTTTTCTATTCATAAAGGATTAAACAGGATTTATTTTGTAGTATAGAAAAACAACACTGAATTATAAAACTTAAGTTATATTA